TTGTTTTGTCACATGCCACAATCATCTATCCTGGAGAATGTTCCATATGAATTTGAGAAGAATGTGTATTGAGTTGCTATTGAATTTCTATAAATGTCTGTTAGGTTCATTTGGTCTAATGTGACATTCAAGTGTATTATTTCCTTATTTATTTTCTGCCTGGAGAATCTATCTTTTGTTGAAAGTGAAGTATTGAAGTCCCTTAATATGACTATAGTCTATGTCTCCCTTCAGATTTGTTCATATTTGCTTAATATAGTTAGATGTTCTGATGTCTGGTGCATGTATATTTATGATTGTTTTATCTTCTTGATGAATGGGCCTTTTATCATTACACAATGACAGTCTTTGCCTCTTGTTAGCATTCTGGGATTAAAGTCTATTTGTCTGATATAAGTATAGCCATCCCTGTTCTCTTTTGTTTCCACTTGCATGGAGTATCTTTCTCCATTCCTTCACTTTGAGCCTATGTGTGTCCTTATAGCTGAAATGAGAATCTTGTAGAAGGCATATAGTTGGATCTTACTTTTTTATTTATCAAGCTACTCTATGGTTTTTGATTTGAGAATTTAGCCATTTGCATTTAGAGTAACTATTGATAGGTAAGTACTCGCTAATGCATCTTATTGTTTTCTGGCAATTTTAGAGTTCATTTGTTCCTTTCTTTCTCTCTTGCTGCCTTTCTTTGTGAATCAATGATTTTCCATACTGGTATGCTTTGATTTCCTTTTCTTTATCTTTTGTGAATCTACTATAAGTTTTTGCTTTGTGGTTACCATGAGGCTTACACATAATGTCTTTCAGATATAATAGCATACTCTATGCTGATAATAATTTAACTTTGGTCACATATAAAAACTATACCTTTTTATCTCCTCTTTTGTTTTTGATGTTACAATTGACCTCTTTTTATACTGTGTATTAATAAATTATTATAGTTAGTTATTTTTATACTCTTGTCCTTTATCCTTTATATTAAAGTGATTTACACACCATCATATTACATTATTAGAGTATGCTGAATTTGTATATATACTTAACTTTACCAGCATATTGTATGCATTCATGTTACTAATTAGCACCTTTCCATTTCAGCTTGAAGAACTGTCAGCATTTCTTGTAAAGGCAGGTCTAGTTGTGATGAAACCCCTTAGTTTTGTTATTCTGGGGAATTCCTTATCTTACCTTCATTTCTAAAGGATAATTTTGCCAGATAGAGCATCCTTGGTTGGCTTTTTTTTTCTTTGACTATTTTTAATACATCATCCCATTCTCTCCTAGCCAATAAGGGTTTTTGCTGAGAAATCTGCTGACAGACTTCCAAGTTCCTAATAAGTTACAGGCTTCATTTCTCTCCATGTTTTTAAGATTCCCTCTTTGTCTTTGATTTTTGGCAGTCTTATAATAATTTTTTTTAAGTTATGTTTTCTTTCTTTTTTTTTCTTTTTTTTTTTTTTTTTTTTGCAGGAGAGAGACAACTACATAACCCGACACCTGGAGAAGAGAGATCATGGGGAGAAAGAGCTGGCATATGAAAGAAAAGGAGGCATCACCAGAAAAGGAAATAAACTAAATGGAGGCAAGCAACCTGTCAGAGAAAGAATTCAGAGAAATGATCATTAGGTGGCTGAAATAATAGAAGACAAATTTAACAATATGTGTAAGAACCAAGAGGAAATGAAGAAGGGCAGTCTTATTATTTTTGACAGTCCTGGAGAGGACCTCTTTGAGCTTATTTGGTGACTTATGAGTTTCATGTACTTGGACATCTAAATCTTTCCCCAGATTTGGGAAGTTCTCAGCCATCATTTTCTTTAAGTGAACTTTCTGCCCCTTTTTCCCTCGAGAACTCCGATAATTCACCAGTTATTTCTTTTGATGATACCCTATAGTTCATGTAGACTCTCTTCACTCTTTTTCACTCTTTGTTCTCCTCTGACTAGGTAATTTCAAAGTTCTAATCTTCTAACTCACAGATTTTTTTTTCTTTTGCTTGATTCATTGATGTTATGATATTTTTCATTGCATTTTTCATTTAATCATTGTATTTTTCAGCTTCAGAATTTGTTTGGCTCTTTTTTATGATTGCTACCTCTTTCTTTTCTTTCTTTCTTTCTTTCTTTCTTTTTTTTTTTTTTTAAGATTTTTATTGATTTCAGAGAAGGGAGAGAAACATCAATGAGGGAGAATCATTGATTGGCTGCCTCCTACATGCTCCCTACTGGGAATCAAACTCACAACCCAGGCATGTGCCCTGACTGGGAATCAAACTGTGACCTGGTTTATGGGTTGATGCTCAACCACTGAGCCAACTGGCTAGGCTGTTATCTCTTTCTTTAAGTTCACAGTTTGTTCATGTATTATTTTCCTGATTCCAGTGAATTGTCTTTCTGTATTTTCTTGAAGCTCATTGAGTTTATCTAAAATAGCTATTTTGAATTATTTATCAGGTAAATTGCAGGTCTCTGTGCCTTTTTGATGGCTTACTAGAAGATTATTGTGATCCGTTGGTGGTGTCATGTTTTGTTGATTTTCCATGTTCCTTTGTGTTGCTGTATTCACATTTGAAAGAGCAGTCACCTCCTCTAGTCTTTACTAACTACCCTCTTCAATCCACCCAAGCTTGTATTTTTTGCTCTAGTGGTATGCTGGCTCTTCTCCACTGGAAACTTCCACTAAGACTCCCTCACTTCTGGGTGATTGTCTAGGACAGTGGTCGGCAAACAGCGGCTTGCAAGCCACAATGCGGCTCTTTGGCTCCTTGAGTGTGTCTCTTCCACAAAATACCACAGCCTGGGCGAGTCTATTTTGAAGAAGTGGCGTTAGAAGAAGTTTAAAAAGTTTGGCTCTCAAAAGAAATTTCAATCGTTGTACTGTTGGTATTTGGCTCTGCTGACTAATGAGTTTGCCGACCACCGGCCTCAGACAGTGATTTCCAGGGGCTCTTCAACTGCAGCAGAGAGGGACTAACCTCAGTTCATGGGCCACTGCAGTGGCCATAGCCAAGACCAAGGTCTGTGTGCCTACTGCCTGATGCATGTAGTCAAAAACTGAATGAGCCCCTGAAACACTCCACACGGACACTCCTCTGGGTTTCTTGGCATATGGTACTGTCCCCACAGCTCCCACACAATACTTTTGTCCACGGATGGATGCCAAGTTTTGTTGTTGAGGAAGAGACACAAACAAAGGAAATATTTTTTTTTAAAGAAAATACATTTTATCGATTTTTTACAGAGAAGAAGGGAGAGGGTTAGTTAGAAACATCGATGAGAGAGGAACATCAATCAGCTGCCTTCTGCACACCTCCCATTGGGGATGTGCCCGCAACCAAGGTACATGCCCTTGACCGGAATCGAACCTGGGACCTTTCAGTCCACAGGCTGACGCTCTATCCACTGAGCCAAACCGGTTTCGGCTCATTTGTTTTAAAGCCACTTGTATTGCTTTTTTTGTGAATTGTGTGTTCCTGACCTTTGCCCGCTTAATGTATTATTTCAAAGTAATGTTTAACAATAAAAAACATTATTTTCCCATTGTCATTTGCTCAAGAATCTCCTCAAAGGCAGGAGACCCTCTCAGAACTTGTCTGTTCCCAAGGGAGGGAGTGGGTCTGGCCTCCTTAACATCCCATAACCCTCCCACAACCCCGTGATTGCTCTCCCCTCCCTCCCCTTCTGTCAAATGTGACCGTCCCTCAGGTGAGCGGAATTCCACCTGTTTGGGATGGCTTTCTGAGTAACTAATGCCCACACACTGCCTGGTCTCACTTCTATATGGGTCTCATCTCATCAGCCATAGCCTCTGCTCCCCAAAGGCTGGGCCGCTAACTCCCGGGTCCAGCTCGCCTTTGTCCCTGCTCAGTGTGCAGGGGTGTCCGTGTGGAGTGTTTCAGGGGCTCATTCAGTTTTTGACTACATGCATGGACCAGGCCTGTCCCAGGCACCATGGGTATGGCACTGCATAACGGACCCAGGCCCCTCCTCTCCTCCAGCTGGCATTCTAGTGAGGGCAGGGGGCTAACAACAACAAAGGCAATGCAGAAACACACACAAGAACGCCAATTAGGTGGACACAGTAATGGAACTGACAGCGAAGCGAGGAGGGGAAGAGTCTCCTTTGGACAGAGGGGTCAGGAGAGGGATCCCCAGGAGCTGAGAGGAGAGCACAGACCTGGCCATGAGAAGGCTCAAGCCATGGAAAGAACCTTCCAGAGCCCCCACTAGAGGTCCTGTCTGGAGGCTCTGCTTCAGACGGATGAGATACAGCCCCAGCCCTCAGTCACTGGATGGAAATTGCAGGCAGAGCCTGTGATCCCTGCAACTTCAGGGCTGTGCATATGGCATGCTGGCGTGCGGGGAGAGGACCTGCACCCCCTTTTCATACTCCAGCTGCAAACTTGGGCAAATGAGATCATGCTTGACCTGGCCTTAACAGAGGACCTCCTACTACTTGCCAGGGTCCAGTTAGACACTTTATACCACCATTTCTTCATTGAATCCACACCACAAGCCCTTGCAGTATTTATCATTAACTTTACGTTACAGAGGAAGAAACCGAGGCTCGTCATGTGGAAGGAACCTGTTTAAGGTTTACATGGCCCAGAAAGAAGTCCAGTTCCCAGGGAGAAAAGTTCTGTCGCAGCGTGGGGTTCGCAGGAACAGTCGGGGTGCACCCCGTTTCCGGAGTTTGCTCCTGGGGCCCCCGCCCCGCCCGAGTCCTCCGGGGCCAAGGGGCGCCCGGCGGGCGGCGGGGCGGGGAGGCCCGGGGACAAAGGCCGCGGCCACCGCGTTGGGCGGGCCGGGCTGGCGGCGGAGCGCTGCGGCCGCCGGGACTGCGGACGCCGGGGGAGCCGCGCGGCCATGGAGCAACCCGGGGGGCCGCCCGCGCCCGCGCAGGCCGAGCCCGCCGGCCCGCCGCCCGCGCCCCCGCCCCCGCCGCCGCCGCCGCCGCCGCCGCCGCCTCCCGCCCGCCCCGCGGCGGCCCCGAGCGCGGCGAACATGGCGGCGGCGGCGGCGGCGGCGGTCGGGCGGGACACCCTACCTGAGCACTGGTCCTACGGCGTGTGCCGCGACGGCCGCGTCTTCTTCATCAAGTGCGGCTTTGGGGTGCGGGGGGCGCGGGGGGCGCGGGGCTTTGGGGCGCGCAGGGCTTTGGGGCGCGGGGCGCTAACAGGTGCACCTCTCCCCGCAGTGACCAGCTCCGCCGCACGACCTGGCTGCACCCGCGCACCGGGGAGCCCGTCAACTCCGGCCACATGATCCGCTCAGGTGGGCGCGGGAGGGGGCGGCGGGATGGGGCGCCGGGGCGGGGAAGGGGGCGCGCGCCTGGGCCGCCAAGTTTGACCTGAACTCTTCTCCCCGGTCCCCGCAGACCTGCCCCGCGGCTGGGAGGAGGGCTTCACGGAGGAGGGCGCCAGCTACTTCATCGAGTGAGTGACCGCGCCTCCCCGCGCTCGCCTCGGGGCCGGGGGTCCCGGGGGTCCCGGGCGATCTCGCCGCGCGGGTCCCGGGCGGGTTGGCGCGCAGAGCGGCGGGCGCAGACGCGGGCGGTTTTGTTCGCCGGGCGGTGCGGCGGCTGCTGGAGGGAGGAGGGGGGCGGCGCACACCCCCGCGGGGGCTCCCGGGCGGGGGTCCGGCCTGCAAACTGCTACCTGGACCGGGCATTTGGGGTGGCCTCGGGCACTGGTGTGGGGGCTCGGATACGCCTCCCTGTTGGGGTCTCCCTTTGCTCTGGGCTGGGACCGCGGTGAGCTGGGGTGGGGAGAGTGGACTAAGAGTTTCGAACGACCGGGCTCCGGGAACCGGGGGCAGAGTGGGTGGTGCGGAGGGAGGGTAAGAGGTGAAGGAAGGGCCTCTCCTTGGGGAGCGTGGCTTTCTCTGCAGCCCCGGACTCCGCGATGGTCGTGGGAAGTTGCAACCGCATCCCACCCCGACCCTCCCGCGCCGACCCGCGGGGCGGGGAGGGGGCCGGTCAGCCAGTGATGTCACTGGAGCGCTGCGCGGCTCTGCAGCCGCAGCTCACAGAGGCCGGCCACGCCGGCTCCGGGGAGTCCAGCAGTAGCTTTTCCTCAAAAGCCCAGAGCTTTGCCCCACAGGCCAGGTTATCCCCGACCTGGGTCTGTGGGAATGAAACAGATGCTGACACCGGAGAGAGTTTTTCCTTTCCCGCCCCGGGCTGTTCCCGGGCTGTTTCTGCCTCTGCCTGCAGCCACCCAGCTCCATGAGGTCAGAAACCGCTTTTGATCCTTTACCCCAGTGCCTGGTATAGAGGAGGCGCTCAGCAAATGTTTGTTCACTGAATGAATGAGCTAGCTGCAGGTCCGACTGGGTGAACGGTGGTCTGACTAATATTACTGTAGTTTTGGGGACTGTGAGTCGGAAATCCTTTTTTTTTTTCCCCCCACTAACTTGAAAACTGCTAGTTGGCGGTGGGCCAGCATTTTGGAAGCTCAGATGGTCCCATTAAGTTCTGGAGCCCCTCGCCCTCCTGGGCTTGCGTGGGCTCTTGCAGGAAAGTTGAAATCCTGATGAATGAGATGAAGAGAAGTGAACACTAAGGCTGTGGGTGTGGTTGGTGGTTGTGTGTGTGTGTGTAAAAGAGAGAGAGAGAGAGAGAGAGAGAGAGAGAGAGAGAGAGAGAGAGAGTTTTGGGGAGTTGGTTGGGATCATTAGGACCTTTTATTAGTGGCTCTCTTTGGCTTATAACTGCATCCGTTGGGATTTATTAGCTATCTCCTGTGTACCACATATTGTTCTAGGCATTGGGACCACAGAAATGAATGAGGCAGCCCTGGCCGGTGTGGCTTAGTTGATTGGAGTGTTGTCTGTGTACCCAATAGGTCTCGGGTTCGATTCCCCATTAGGGCACATGCCCGGGTTGTGAGTTTGATCACTGCTCAGGGTCCATGCTCAGGGTCTATGCAGGAGGCAACCCATTGATAATTCTTTTTCTCTCACATCCATGCTTCTCTTTCCTTCTCTCCCTTCCTCACTCTCTAAAATTAATTTAGAAAAACTAAACACACATTCTAAGGTGAGAGTTTAAAAACATTTATTTAAAAAAAGAGAGAGAGAGAGAAGTGAATGAGGCAGATATGGGGTTTGCAGTATAATGGTGAGGGGAGGGAGCAGAAAATCCTCCCATATAATAATAGGCTAATATGCAAATCAACCAAACATCATATGACCAGTTGCTATGACAGGCACTGACCACCAGGGGGCAGACACTCAATGCAGGAGCTGCCCCCTGGTGGTCAGTGCGCTCCCACAGGGGGAGTGCTGCTCAGCCAGAAGCTCTGAGCCCAGATCTCAGCTGGCAGCAGCAGCGGTGGAGGGAGCCTCTCTTGCCGCCAGGGCAGTCGGACATCTCCCAAGGACTTCGAGAGGGTGCAGGCTGGGCTGAGGGATTCCCCCCACACACACAACTACACGAATTTCTTATAAGTAAATAAACAAAGAATAGTATTAGATAGTGAGCAGTAACTACTATGCAGAAAGTTAAAATAAGGTGATATAAAGTGCCTGAGTGGTTTGGCTGGATGGGAGGTTAGACGTGGTGTTCCTTTTCTTTTCTTTTCTTTTCTTTTCTTTTTTTTTTCTTTTCTTTTCTTTTCTTTTCTTTTCTTTTCTTTTCTTTTCTTTTCTTTTCTTTCTTTCTTTCTTTTATTTTTTTAAAATATATTTTATTGATTTTTTACAGAGAGGAAGGGAGAGGGAGAGAGAGTTAGAAACGTCGATGAGAGAAACATCGACCAGCTGCCTCCTGCACACCCCCTACCGGGGATGTGCCCTCAACCAATGTACATGCCCTTGACCGGAATCGAACCTGGGACCTTTCTGTCGGCAGACTGACGCTCTACCACTGAGCCAAACCGGTTTCGGCTGAATAGATGACTTTTAAGGTAAAGTCAGAATAACAAAAAAGATCCATTGTTATGTTGAGGAGGTGGCAAAGCATTTCTGGAAGAGGGAGCAGCCAATGCAAGGGTTTAAGGGGACAAATAGCTTCAAATTCAAGGAGCCGAAAGGCCAGTGTGCCTGGAATGTGGTGAACAAAGGTGACGGTGGCAGGAGAAGCCCTTACAGATAGGACGGAGCTAAATGGTGTAAGGCCCAACCACTGAGCCACACCGCCTAGGCCCACCTCTCCTATTTATTGTTCCTGTCTCTTCCATGAAGTTCTAGGCAAAACTTTGAGCTGAGGGATCTGAGGGGTGTGTAAGATCCTCGGTCAGTTTCACAGCCTCTGGCCCTTCATCCCTTTTGTTGTCTCTTCTGTGGCTACTCTGTGAAGTCTCTCATGGTTATCCTTCAGCAAGCCCTGGTCTCTACCTACAGGCCCTTGGCCCGGTCCTTCCAGGCAAAGGGGAACACAGTGTGACAGTGCCCCTGGGACCTGTGGCTACTGACTGCATTTCCCACCTCATTCTGTGGCAAGTTCTTGAAGACTTAAAGATTTGTGGAGTAATTATCTCCCCCCCCCCAAGTATTTTGCTTCAAGGGTGCTTTCTTGGGTCTACCATGAGCATTTCTGAGATTTTTACTTTTATGGTATGGAGAGTTCTCTAATATGGCTCAGGTAGAGAGACGCAGCGTCGGCACCCCGATTTTATTTTCGCCAGTGGATCCTTGCCTGGAAGTTGTGTGCGGGGCTCAGGGGGCATCAGTAGCTCCTGATAGTTAGCAGATATTTGAACACGCTCCAGAATCCATTTCTTGAAGAACACCGGATCTAAGGCAGGCGGATTTTAGTTTTTGTTGCTGCATTTTGCATACATCTGTGGATTTATTAGGGACAATATGTATGAGGAATTCACTCCTGGTCCTCCTGGTTCTAGATTAGGTGATGCTGACTTGTACTTCAAGACTTCTCTGCTTTCCCATGAGTCCCTTAGCCAGGGAGCAGGCTATGATAGCAATTCTGCCATTAACAGCAGCAGCAATAATAGTAGTATCGATTATGTAATAGCATCATATTTTCGAGTCCTTGAAAAGCACCAGGAGTTGTTTTATAGTTGTTACCTGATTTAATTCTTGCAACAACTTGATGAAGTAGGAACTGTCACTAGTCTCATTTTTCCTACGTGGAAACCTATAATAATCCCAGTCATTCCACTAGCACAGGCAGTTGGCTTTTTCTGGTACCTTTTCCTACTGGATCCATATAACAGCCCTAGAAGCTGCAGAGATAGGATTGTCCTATTCTTCAGATGATGAAATCCAGGTCCATGAAGGTTCAGTGATTTGCCCAAAATGTCAGAACCGTGGTCTTCAGTTTCTCGTTTGGTAACCATGGTAGTCATGGTGGCTTCTACCCCAGGCCACAGGTGAGAGCCAGCGTCGATATTTGAAGGAGCTCCATGCCATGTACTGAGTCGGCTCAGGCTGCCTCAGGCTCAGGGGGGGCCGTTCCCCTTCTGTGTTTCTGCCGGGGACTGAGGGTCCTTGGACAGGCAGCGGCCCTTGGTCTCCTGTGCTGATTGGTGATGGGCATGCCTCTGATTAGTGAGACATGGAAGGCATTAATTATTACCCAGTGAAAACAGTCTGGCAGGCACAGCCTTTTCCACAGGGGACTCCTGAGGGAGAAATTCTTAAAGGGGCCTCGGGAACTAGCGTGCTATGCCGGACTGGGCTTCAGGGGTTTTGTGGAACCCATGGGTCGGGTTCTCCCTACAGCAGTTTTGAAAAGATCCTGCATCAAAACAGAGAATGGATGGCAGGGAGGAGGGGTTCTTGCTACCCTGCCTGTGCCAGGGTTGCTTCTTGAAGGCAGAACCCGGTCCTCCGGCTCTGAGATTGGCACCCATCCCCACACTGGGCACTGAGTAGGCACTTGGTATGTACTGAAGCAGCAGTGTGTAAGGGAGCCGGGGAGTTCAGTAAGTGTTCCAGGTCTTTTTTTTTTTTTTTTTAAGTTTAACTTTATTTATTTATTTTTTTTATTTTTTTATTTTTTTTTAAATCAATCTTTATTGTTCATATTATTACAAAGGTTCCTCATTTCTTCCCCCCTCCACCAGGTTCCCACCCCACCCTCTGTCCCCCCCCCCCCCCATCCCCCATTGTCCTCATCCATAGGTGCAGTTTATGTTCAGTCTCTTCTTCCCTCAATTTCCCCAATAGTAAATCCCTTTTCAGATAGTAAATCAGTTACTTAGCATTTTCTCATATCAATAATAACTCCACATGCCCAATGATACACTTCACACAAAAGACATTTCCCAATAGGTCCACTAGCCTCATACAGGCCCCACCCAAGGCACTCACAGATCAACACCCCAGTCCTAAACTAACTCAACACATCCAGATCTAAGCCTTCATCACTTGATTCAGCAGACCCTCAAGTTCCCACGAAAGTTTCCAGCCATGTCTGAGAAGCAGCCGTGGGGCAAGGGCAGGCAAGGAGCGAGCTGTTCTGGGCCTGGCT